ACCCATCGCAGGAAAAGAGCTGGTCATTAAATTTCCAAGATGGCAATCCATTTCCTACCTCCAGCCCCAGATTTTCTGTTTCTATGCCAAAAAACACATAAATGGAAAGTTGTGTTTTAAGAACTTTACGACTTGCACATTTCACTCAGTAGAGTCTTGTAGGTGTCATATAAAATGCAAACACCTCGGCTGCATGTTGTGTGATCTGGCACGAGTTCATGTAGAAAGGAAACTCCTAATGATGGAAATGAAATTAATCTTTCATACAGCACCTTTCATACATATTCTAAAGCAGAACAATTAGACATAGCCAAAGAGTTAAAACAAATTATGTAAACAGAGAAAGTCAAGAGAGGGCAAAGCATTAACCTCTAATTGTTTTTGTGGAGAGACCATTCCTTTGGCTTTTTCAATCACCCACCTTTGCCTGGTGCATGAAGAAGGCTTGGTCTGAGATGGTTGTCTGGTTTACACTGGATTATTGTTCATGGCTGAAGGAAGATTCCCAAACCTTTTCTACTGATGCAGGAATTTTTGCTACCTGATCAGTCTTACATTGAAGGAGAACAGAAGATTGTTCAGAAAAACATTAAAGCAAGAGGACGAAGTACACCAGTAAGTGGGTGGCATCCAGGTAAGCTCTGCCCAGCAGCTGCTGTCCTCAGACATCAAAATTCCCAGCAGCTTAGCGAGCCATCCATTGCAAAATGGAAACCCAGAGCAAGCTATTATCTTTAAAGAAGTGTTTTTAATTGTTTCAGGAACAGCATGAGTGTGCCATACAAAAAAGAAACACCACACAGCATAAAACACAGACCTGAAGGCACTCTATAAGGAAGTAGAGAGAAAACAACTTGGAAAGAGGAAGAGAAAAGGTACACAGCACATCCAGAAGTTAAAAGCAAGGCCAGTTTTGATCCAGAATTGAGGCAGCAGAGAGCTGATGGAGACTGGGGATAGCAGTGATGCTGAGCTTAATAACAGAAATTGTATCAGCAAGCCTTGTGTAAAGAAAAAGTCTCTGCAAGGGTCCTATTGCCTGAGGAGAAGGGTCCACTGTTGTAGGAGGTGCACAAAACTACAAGGGTCCTCAGCAGCCAGTGGTGAGGGGACTCGGTTTCAGACTTACTTCTGGTAAAAGACCTTCTATTTCCACTAGAATTAAAGATGCAGGTTGCAGAGCACCTTTCTCTAAGCCAACACGACTTGTGGGCTTGCTGTCCAAAGCCAGCTTCAGCAGTGCACGTGTGCATGCCCTGATGGAGGAAAACCACTTGGCTGGGATTTTCAGGTAAACGGGAGGAGAGGAGCAGAAGAACCTCTTATGGAGTGTAAGTTAGTATTGTAGAGGTTGGCACAGACCAGCAAAATCTTCATCTGATGAAGCACTGAGGAAAAAACACCTGCCTTGTACAGGCAGCTGCTCACTGACAGAGTCACCTACCACGGCAATGCCAGGTCTGAGTCTCTCCTTCACAAATAGGTGTCCAGATGGCTCCATTGTGGTTTTGGCAATGAGCTGCCAAATACTGTAGTTAATTTAAGCAATAATAACAACCTAGCCTCATTTGGGGCAGAGATTCCACACAGCAACTCAGCAAGTTAAGGGATGGTCATATTTGCCAGCCCCTTTTCAGCAGCTGTTACTCTTTCCTGTGACCCTGTAACATGTACAATGTTCAGCACACCAAAGGAATTCTGAGGCACCTCTGGGTGCTGCCACCCAACTGCACATTTTTCTTAAAATAATTTCTAGTTAGAGAACAAGTTCTGCCTACCCAAACTAGCCATAATAACCATTTTAAAAAGGAAGACTGCCCCCCGTTCCCTAAGGGCTGCAAGTGACCCCCCACAGCCTCCAACAGCTTCAATAAAAAAATGTTTTTTGTTACTATTCTCAAGTTCAGAACAATGAAAAAAATCTGACTCTGTACTAATGCTACAGATATTTTAGCAGAGTTTTTTGAGTACATAATCAAAACAGGGCTTCAAAAGAGGAATATGGGAATAATTATAAGAGAAGGTCACAAGGGTGTAGGTTGCTTCAATATGGTCACAACAAAAATGAGTTAATTGGGACACATACCAAACAAGCAGGCTCAATTAAGTAAATAAGTCTCTTAACTTCATCATTAGTTATCAGCCCTGTTTTATCTCTTAAGAAGAAAAAATATAATGTCCTCTTCCCTATGGAGGATTTATAGCTATCAGTTCTGGGAAGCTTATGGGATGGTGGAAAAATACAAGCTTTCTGATTATCTTGAGCTGGTGAAAGCTAGTCCCTTGCACAACAGCTGCAGATTTTTCATTGATGCAAAGAGGATACAGTAGGTGTTTTGAAAGTACTTTGATTTACTTTAAAGATTTATTCCTGGAGTCCTAACTAGAGTGATTCTTTCTTCTTTTTCAACTGAATTGTCTCTCTGTAGCAAAAGGCTTTTTCTATTCAGGAAGCTTCTTGGCTGGTTCATGGCAAACCAGGCTTGGTCTGTGGTGCAACAGGAGCCTCAGCACTTCGTGGAAGATGTCTCAGCTCCAAGGGAAACCATGTAGTTCAACCCACCTTCCCCTCAGGGCAGCTTTGTCTGCAGCCTGGAAATTGAAGCTATGTCCATACAGTGGTCCACAAATCTTCCCAGAACATACCCAGCAACTGACCTTGCCAGTGACCTGACGAATCAGGTGAGTCAACATCCACATTCAGTCCTTAGGCTCTGTCTCTAATTAATGCTGATGAATGGTATTTTCCACGAAGTGAGTACAAGTCCAGTGACTCTGAGACCAAACTACTGCTTTGTGCACAGTGTTCTCTGTGTCCCAGAGCACTCTATCAAGACAGTCAGCATCGTTATTCTTTCAGAATACCTTACACAGTGGCCAGGAAGAAGATGGACTGAGACCAACTAATATTAAATAATAAATCACCGTTGTGAGAGATGTCCCACAGAAATCCATCTTTCACCATGACATCCCTATACTATAGTGAAGAGAAAAAAGAAAAAAAAAAAAAGGACTTGATATAAGACTTCCACTTTAAATGAATACTCCACAGCAAATTCCTAAAACTGTGTGTTAGAAAAGCATACACAACAAATTAATATTGAAGTAATTTAAGAAGTATTAGACTGCTTTTCTGTATGGGTTTTGGAATTTAAAACAAAATATGCTTAGTTAAATGGAAGGCCTCCAAGTTCTCCAGTACATCATTACAAAGTAATAGGTTAAGGCTCAGTATATTACAGGCTAGTAATACAATTATTTTGAAATAATTTGCGTAGAAGTCTTAAGAGCTGAAATTTTTACGCAAAGGTAAAGCTTAATTCTCAATGAAATTTAGTGAAATACATCTTTATGGAAACCTTTACTGCCCTTTTGTGTCACCTGGTGTCATATCCCTACGAACCCCAAGTCAACTTAATAACAAGTGGATGTGTAAAACTGAGCATCCAAGATGGGGTTAAAAACCTGCTGGGACTGTCACCATCTGTATTTTCCCTGAGACGAGGATAAGGTGGACATGAGCTGCAGAAATACTGTTCTGTTCCTCCTCTTGCCCCTCCAAATAGATTAATTTTTGGCAAACAAAGCCCAGCAGCTTGGAGAGTTACTATTTATCCCTTCCTAAGCTGTTGGGTATAATTCTGAACAGGTAGGTATATTCAGTTTTCACATATAACTTTTTTTTTTTTTTTTTTTTTTTTATCTTATCCTCAAACTGGTACTATGAGAGTGCATTAATCACACTTTCTGAAAAGCCTTTAGCCTGACTTTTGTCAAGAAATGCTGGGAGAGGATACCATATCTTGAAGCTGTAACTGAGGAAGAGAACAAAGTGTGACCTGAATACATAAGTAACTGTCTAGAGTCACCAAATCAGCCTTGTGGCTGCTGGCAGCTGTCACAAACAAAAAGTTCCCCAGGGAATGGCTCTGGACTCTGATGTGTGCTACTTTGATAACTTACTTTCTTTTACTTACCTTACATATTTTTCAATTACTGCTTCACAGTGCTTTATACTACATTATGATTTAATCTGTTGTTCAATGCCATGCCTACCTTTACAGCTTTGTACCAATAACTGAAAGAATAAAAACACTGTTTAACTGAAAAAGCTAAGGAAACAAAGAAAGTATGCTGAAGTGTCATTCAAAGAAGGTAAATTCCTATTTTGTAACCTTTGCTGGTTACTGTCTGCTCTCACATCCTATAACTCAAACAGCTCCTCCTCTGTTTCATCTTCACACCTCCACAGACCTCAGAAGAAACAAGATCCATGAGGACAGATCCTTGTGATGACATAGAGTCATACAGATACGAACTAAGTAAGATTTTCCTTTGCTGTAAGTATTCCTTAAAGAGGTAGAAGTGAGAGGTGTTGATGAGTCTTAACAAGGAAGGCCAAAATTTATTCTATTTCCATTCTTCTGGAAGTGTGTCATATATATATGTATATATGTATATACATATATATATATGACATGTGTCATATGTCATTTACACTTCGGGTTTCTCAGACACCACAGTTTGACACCACACAGATGGTCAAGAAGAAATCAAGTAAGTAATTTTGAAAATGAAATGAACAGAAATCCTGTGAAGGAAGAAAATAGAGAGTGGTGGTTAGACTGTTTTTAGTCAATCCTGCTTGCAAGCCAAATGCAGTGAAGAAAACAAGATAGAGGTCTAGAGGATCTGGGGACAGAACAGACACCCAGAATGAGGCCAAGAGGGAGAGATGGCCTAACTCAGAACAGGAGATGAACTGGGCAAAGGCAGAGGATAGCTGATACAGAAAAAGAGAAAAGGAAGTGTGCAGTACCTCCCTCCTCATTTTGCAGGGGATAAAACTTGATGTGAAGGATATGATATGCAGAAGGAAGCTCCCATAGAAGAATGCATCGAAAAAATCCCACCAAACCAGAAAATTAATAAACTGACTGAGAAACAGTGCTGGGCAAGATAACCAGGTTTCTGTGAGCTCATGGCAAAAGGGTGAACACTACCAGTAGTGCAGCTGTCCCATAGCAGGGCACCTCACTTTGCCCTGAAAGACTTAGTCAGCAGATAACTTTTGGGTACTA